TCATAGCATATCGGTAGAAAATGTATTGTATTTGTAACTTGTTTACCAAGTATTTGAGGTTGTCAACCTTAAAATAATCCACGAAATTGTCTTCCCTATAAACCAGACAAAACCAATAACACAGGTTACTCGATGGTTTATAGCAGCATTAATGTCTTGCCAGAGTTACGGTCATATAAGGGAATCAATGCCTATGGCGACCGTTTATAGCTCATAGCGAGTGGCTACTGTACGAAATGTCTATTTATAGTGCATGTTAGAGTTTGCTGTACAGAGTGTCTGTATAAACATGTGTTATACGATTTATCAGAGTATAAAATAATTAAGAAAGGATAAATAATTTGACTATGTGGAAAACTACTTTAACAGTTTTTATTTTGATACATAATTTGCTACAGGTCGTATGTAACTGAGTGACCCATCTTAAGTCAATGACATAAAAAATTCCGTAGTTGTTTCTTCACTCTTGTAATAAAAGATTTAGTTACTGAAGAAAGAATTAGGCATTGAACGTATGAAATGAATAATTTTAGTTTCCTCATTTAGGCCTACATACAGTATACTCCGAAGTCCTGACGATACAATTCCTGCGTTTCACTCCCATTAGCATCGAAGTCAAATCAATTAATGTCAGTCACAACACATCGACAGCAGGTGTGAATGTGAGTCAGTGATCTGTCAAAATCAGCTGATCATTAGTCAACAGCTGATTGGTAATTTGTTAATCACAGTTGGCAGTGCCTGAAACTGTGCATGCCTTTAACTTTTCATGTTGCCGACTCCTTCATTGCTGCGGTTATCAGTACAGTAATTATTGAGGCTCGGCTTTAGGGCGGTGGTTGGAGTATAGTTTTCATCTTTAGGTCTGGTTATTTTGATGATAATTCGTTTTTTATTGTGATCTGTTGTTTTTTTATGGAATTCATTCAAATGTCAATTCACTAATTTGTTTCAATGCTATTTATTAATTTAATTATTTTTATTTTGTAAATTTTATACTTAGCCACTGTTAAAATGCACGGTTAAAAATACTTCATTCTTCAGATCACCGAATATCATGATTGAATGATCATAGAAATTAAATCAACTTAATGCGGTTCCACCAATAATATCGTTTAAAACGGATAACGATGAGGCGAGGAGTTTAAATGATGAGGAGGGAGTTTGATTCCAACAATAATTGGCACCAATTAGCAGATTCAGAGTGTGAAACTAGCTCTAACAAACTCGCTGTCTCTCTCGCACTCATCACAACTCCCATCTCTTCTCTCTCGCACCTCCCCTGGTGAAAGTACAATCTCTCTGATTAAATGTGTACCAAGCTTTGTCTAACCTGACTTGTGTCGGCAAGTTAGATCGGACCACAGTGTTTCATTTAAAATAGCTTGATTTTATTAGTTTGATTGTTAAGTACCAAAAGGTCGGAGTGTGGCTTTCCAACCCAATAAAACCAACGGTGCCGACAAGTTGTTATTTCGTTGCCAAAGTAGTAACCAATAAGGCCCACTGTTAATCTTTTTTTAATTCCAATTTCACCATTTACGCAATTAGATTTTCGCTGGTAGTTTTAGCTGTATTGAACACGTTTTTAGACCAGAAATACATTATTTTCAACATTTGAAGGAAATCGCCGAAGCCTTTTCGAGATCTTTGTGGAAGCAAGCAAGCATACATAGAAGCAAAAATTGCTCACAAGAGTATAGGATTAATTTTATAAAAGTGGACATTTTAAATTTGACAATTGAAGTAAAATGTAAATAAAAACAAAACAAAACTTAACAAAACCGATACACTATAATAGTAGGTCCGAGTTTGGAACAGGATTCCAGACCGGTAACAGATAAAAGTAACAGTTACACTGGCAGAGTAGGTAACGGGATTGTGAGTGCATAACTTTTCCTAAACCAGTAGTCGGGGCCGCGAGTCACAAAAAGAGGAATCGAACGAAACAGCTTCGAGAAGTGGAAGTGTCGCATTCTTTGCGAAAAGAAATGAAACACAGCGAAAGTATCGATATAGTCGGTGTTAGCGACGAACTCTGGACAACTTGTTTGTGTACATTGCGTCTCACCAAAACCAAAACTGTTGCGGAAATTACGACCAATTTTTTAAATCCTTGGTCTGCTAAATATAACAAAAAACAACGAAACATGTATTGCTTGGTAATTACAATACAAAGTTTATCTGTATGAAATGTTTCATCCTTAAATTATAAAATAAATGCATATTCTATTCAGCCCGATTTAAGAGTTTATTTCGCACAACTCATTAAATTAGTCAAGGGACGTTGCAGTCGCAGTGAAAATTAATAGTAAAATTTACGCCACTATATCAGATATTTTTAACTAAAAACGTATAGTTAATTTTCAACCCTTGTCTAATAAACGCAACCAAACCTTATCGAGGGTTGCAATCAGTGACATTAATTAATTACGTCGCCTTTTTAAAGCAAAGAACTCTTATTATAAAATTCTCCAAGACCTATTAATGATTTATAGCTCTGTTACCCACTATATCAGCAGATTCCTCATCCTCACCCGTTTACTTTTTCAATGTCCAATTATTATGGCTGTGATAGCTAAGTCCAGTTTCAAACCATCAAAAGGTATTGAAAACGTCTTCTAGGAATATAACCATCGACTATTGGATACTTATCAATAGTCAAAGACAACCCTCGACTATCGTACTTCTATAGGTGTATTCGATTGTAATAGATTGTGGCGTCAGGTGTGTTCTAGGGCCACGACACCTGTTGTATGAACAGCTGTTAAGAGAGAAGTAAGACAGGTGACTACGGAGTAGATGAACACTTCAAAGAAGGTAATATATATAATACTAGCAGAGTACCCGTCCTTCGTACGGGGTTGGCATATAATTATAAAATACTTATTGCAGTTATACTCAAGCGTTGCGTTTGCAATGGGGGAGGACATAGTTTGATACAATTTGGTTCTTTAAATTTAAATTATTATATTATTTTAAGTATTTTGAGTTTTAATAATTTCCCCCCCCCCAACTTTTTTCTACATTTTTTCAAATATCAATCCCAGACCACTTCCAAACATTGTTGGGTAGTAAGTACTTCATTTTGACAAGGTGGCCATTTCCGGCCGCCATCTTGGATCCACCATATTGGATGCAAAATTTTTTTTTCATATGTAAAGGTAGGGTTGTGACCCATTATTTTGAACTAGATTTTTACCCTGATTACAATGCCGCAAACTGTTTTTAAAAATCTTGATTCATTCTAAAGTTATGAGGGCTTTTTAAAACTTTATTTTTAGCCCATTTTAACATTGTGCATTTAAAAACATAAGACCATAATCTGAAAATAGTGCAAGATAAAGATAAGTATACACTACCAGTAATTGTTGACCTATTTTCACTTGGTTATGACTGATGTATTTTTTTTGGCCACCATCTTGGATCCGCCATTTTGAAATGTGATAAATTATTTTAAATATGAAGGAGGTGTTGTGACCCATCATTTCGAGCTACTTTTTTAAGCTTACCTCAATGCCGCAATCCATTTTTTGTTATCAAGTTTTATTTATGAAATATTGCAGTTTTTTTTTGTAAAAATCTAAAAATGAAAATTAAAAACGGATCATAGAATTAAGTTCAGATAAAAAAAGTAGTTTGAAATGATGGGTCACAAGACCCCCTTCATATTTAGAATAATTTATCACATTTCAAAATGGCGGATCCAAGATGGTGGCCGAAAAAAATACATCAGTCATAACCAAGTGAAAATAGGTCGACAACTACTGGTAGTGTATACTTATCTTTATCTAGCACTATTTTGAGATTATGGTCTTGTTTTGTAAATGCACAATGTTAAAATGGGCTAAAAATAAAGTTTTAAAAAGCCCTCATAACTTAAGGATGAATCAAGATTTTTAAAAACAGTTTGCGGCATTGTAATCTGGATAAAAATCTAGTTCGAAATAATGGGTCACAGCCCCACCTTTACATTTGAAAAAAAATTTTTCATCCAATATGGCGGATCCAAGATGGCGGCCGGAAATGTCCACCTTGTCAAAATGAAGTACTTACTATCCAACAATGTTTGGAAGTGGTCTGGGATTGATATTTGAAAAAATGTAGAAAAAAGTTGGGGGGGGGGGATAATTAAAACTCACCCTGTATAGTAGCCTATAGTATAGGCCCTAACACATCTACCATAGCCATATTGTTTTACCACTTTACCTAAACAATATAAAAAATAAATTATCCAACATTCACACAATATCACAAATTATTCATTAAATTAAAAACAAAAAAGTAACTGTTAACAATCCTACTTTCACAGTTCTCATTGTGTATCACAGCTTTTTGTAGCTGCTTAGTTCAAATAAGCTGTTTCTATATATGCAAAAACAAAATAATAATAGTACTGCACCCTGTTGGGAAACCTTATAACTTTTTAATGCTATTGCATATTATAGAACGAACTTGTTAAGTTGAAACAGCTGACTAAATTCTTTAATTCCTTTTGAATATGAATACTCATAAGGTTAACATGGGTGGTCCCATGTATGACGATAAGTAAAATTTACATTCTTTTTGCTTTGCCAATTTCTAGCTTTGATAATTTTCAATGCAAATTAAGGTTCTTTTGATTCGTGTCAATTGTGTCAAACATCTTTGCTTAGTCCTATGCAACATGCCATTTAAAAGCACAGGCTATAAGCAAGAAGATAACTATTCTATGGACTTAGTAAGAGTAGATTGGCCTTAAATAGTAAATAATAATTAGGTCTGTAATTGATTTTGCCGGACTTTTTTTTGTAAAAAAAAAAAATACCTAGGTAAACATTTTCATGGCATTGTGCTAGGTGGGATATCATTTTCTACAGTATAATCCCAAGGCCTAGTCAACAATGAGTGCTCTAATAGCTCGATTGTTTGACTTGGTTGTGTTGGTAGCGCTGTCTGGCTGGTAGTTTCCGCGTCTGCCTCTTGGAGCGCTAGTGTCGTTCGCCGCTCCCGCTTCTTCTGTCAGTCGGGTTTGGTGCGAGGTTCCGAAAGGTCGATGTACTTTGAGGTTAGTGTTTCGTGTTGTGCTCGTTCTGTGGATTACTTTCTTCCTTGTGCAGGTAAATAACTCAGTTTACACTTCGATGGTTCCTTGAGGATGTATTTTCGTTTGTTTTTGTGGTTGATTACCTATTGATCTTTTCTCTTGACTGTTTCATACAATCATTTGGTTTGTCATAAATACCGGATTGTAATAGAACATTTAAATATTTTTGTTGTTATTCATTTATGAGAATTAAGGGAATATATCTTCATCATAACAGTTGCAAGTCGAAACTTTCCCGTTCGATTATATATCTATTTTCTTATGAACACTAGTAATTAATAAAAAAATTAGCTCATAAATAATTAATCAGGGCCTAGCTTATTTTCTTATATTGCACACATATATTATTAGGAAAACTTCAAAGCCGATTCGTATGATCCTTCAAGTCGGTCTCACTAAATAGACTCATTATGAGCAGAGACGACAAACATAAAAAGTTTAAGAACAAGTCAATTATTGATTTTTACTTTCATAACGCCAATCTTCGTAAATGTTTATTAACATTGCAACAAAACATAATAAGATCCTTGTTTGGTCTTACAAAATGCAATGTGCAACTTATCGCAAAAATGCCAATAAATAGGGTAAATCTCACAACCGTGCTGTTTAAATAAAAAAAAAAAAAACAGCTAACATACTATGCAGTGCACGAATTTGAAACTGTTAACTATTATTATATTTAATACTATCCTAAATTAATTTAAGCAATTACCCCGCCGCAGCAAACCTGCAGACGATATGGGATAAAACAGAAAATTAAATTTGATAAAAATATGCTACGTTCTAAAAACAGAAAACAACAGATTTCTTATCTCCATAAAAACATGGCAATTTTAAATGTACAGTACAATTGTTTGGACATTTTCTCCATGACCTTTAATTCTTCAAAATTAACAAGATTGTTTGTTTTTAAGCTCAAAATGAAAAAAGTAATTTGGTCCCAGGACTTGCTTTCCGACTACGGTATTCTTTTTCACATGAAAGCTCGCTAAAAATATTGAGCATTTCACAATGAATTTAGGTTCTTCAGAAAAAATATTATTTTGAACACTGTTTGCTAACCGGTTGAATGGTGGAACACAATTTTGCTGACCGTTGAATAAATTAACTTGTAATAAATAAAACAAACTATTATAGTCGATTTCGAAAGTTTAATGAGTTTATGTTTTTTTGGTATAAAAATGTTATTAACTGTGCCATTAAATATTATTATCATAAATAACACAAGTATTCAGTATACTTCTCATAAAAGACATAAAAATTAGGAATTTCCCTCAGTTTATACAAAATAAATTGCAAATAATATGAATCCTTGGTGGACATGATTGCTCAGCATTAAAATGTAAATACTGATCTCTATATCTCCTGTTTAGGTTATTAATCTAAATAAAAATTGGGCAATCAAATATATATGCACTTTTCTTTATATTAACAAAACAAAACCGGCATGTTATATAGGGCCTACAAAATAAAGTGAACTATGTTGCCGAAAGCGTGGTAGGGATGCAGACTTATGAATTAAAGATGCCTCACAATTATCTTACTGACTGAAGAAGCTCGTCTTGAAATTGGAGTTTTGGAAACCAGAGCCTTGTCATTATCCGAACTATTTAGACCCGACCCTCAAAACCGACCTACCCCAACCTTCCATACGCCCCTTTGATTTACGTAGCCTACCATAATTTTCATTTGAATCAATTTAATAATTTAAGTAAATAAATTTTACACTCTATGACGTAGTGTTTTTAAGCTTTTTTACACACGAGATTCCGAATATGTAGTATGAGGAAAGATTCTTTAAATAAGTAGGCGTTCATTGACTAATAAAACATTGTGGGTTTTCCTATGTAAAATTTAAGGACAAGAAACCACGTCTATAATGACACTACCCGATAACTTTACACGTGTTCTGATAAAACAGACAAGACTGGACTTGATGATAACCTATTGGAATCGTTCTTTATTACGCTATATATCATCGTTATATGTTATTTATTTTTACCATGAATACAGGAAAAGTTTAAAAATTTGAAAAAATGTTTTTTTGTGAAATTTTTATGGATGTGTCTTTGTTAAATGCTATGCATATAATTTCGCCAAATCGTATACTGGTAATCGGGAAGGTATTAATTATTTTTCGGACTAGAGTATTTCTGTATGTCATGATTGTCATGACTATACATAAAAAATACCTAAAGCTAAATTTAAATACGATGCAAAGCCATAGTATTTGTACTATAGTGCAACTAGTTTCGAGTACCGGCACCCAGTAAGGATGTCCTATAGCTTCATTAAAAAATGTCAATACGAATAGTGTTTTTAGTTATTATTTGTCAAAAACCCGTTGCGAGATTCATTTACCATTAGTGAATGGTTCATAATGAATTATTGCAAAACCTTCCTATTAAACCGTACAAAATTCAAATGTCGCCAATTAATATAATAATCCAGTAAACTACCGAGCCCAATTCAGTAATGTAATGCATGAAGATGTAACTGTTGGAGCATTCGTCGCCCAGTCGACTCTGTTCTGGTTTCCATCTGGTTTTCTAACGGGTTGACCATCGTATCGTTCAATTACCCCCCATCTTCCATCCGCTCTCCATACGTCTTCCACTTCTCTTCCGCTCTTCGGTTCCTTCGTCTTTGCTTTCTCCTTTGTGATATACTTCGTATGGGCATTCGATGAAGGCGCTTTTGCATTTCATGGTCAACGTGTGAATGTTCATCAATGGTTTGGCAAATTTGATAAAGAATTATTTAGTTTATAATACAGTGTCCTCTCTGATCTTTTTTACTCTGCAGCTTGGAACAAAACTTAAGGTTTATCCCAGGTTGATAACTGTTGCTACACGTTGTTAGTGTACTTTGAATAACTTGTTTGTTAGGTCTAACTGGACTGTCATGCATTTTCTAAACTCTTCAACTTTTTTGGTTTGAAAAAAAGAATCAGGCACACAATGTGTAAACATGTTATTTTGTAAGACATATGCACTGTCTATGACCATAGATTTGTCATCCTTATGGATCAGCTGAAGAAAATTTTATTATTAGTTCTGTATGGTGCCGCTAGATTGTGTTTTTGTTTACAATTTACTTCTTGTTATTAACCGACTTCCCCACTACCAACAAAAGGAGGAGGTTCTCAATTTGTTTGTGGCGATGTTTTTTTTTCTATGTATGTTCACCAATTTCTCTGTGATTCTTTTACCGATCAGTGTGGTTCCACCACCAAAATAACCAGGAGAGTTTCTATTTGGTACCTTATATATTATGTTTAAGTATAATATTTCTTTCGGTGAAAAATTGTGAAAACCTTAAATATTCAACATTTATTTTGTTTACATTTGTGCAGATTGTTTACATTTGTGCAGAGAAGGCAATAAATAATAATAACATTTCTACAGCTGTTAGTTGAAACCATTTAAATGAAGCTACATACAATTCTTCATGAAACAGTTGCTTCATAATATTGATCAATAAACTATTTCTTGCCATGGAGCCTAAATGAATTACATTGAGAAAAATGCATTTTGTTTTGGTTACTATAAAAAATGTATTTTAACGTTTGACCTGATTTGTGTATACAGTAATTCTGTTTTTAGTATTGAATATTCTGACTTACAAAAACATATATGTTTCAGTGAATAGCTGTATGATATTGACAAATAAAGGTGTATTGTGAAAACCAAAGTATTCGTAAAACAGGTCTAAATATAAATTAAATGCAATTATTCCTTACACGACCTAAGAAGTGTGACAGTGCATAATCGTCAATTGTCTTAAAAGTGTTAAATATTTTAATTACTAAACATGCATTTGCAGATGTGGAATGTTAATTGATATTCTCTACCCAGTTACTATATCATATCAATACTATTATGCCTGCTTCGGAAAGTCCTAGAGGAAGATGATTTGCAATTTCGACTAGGCTATATCTTGAGCAAACAAAACCACCTACATGGCTTGCACCACTTTTAGCTAAACCATAGACTAGCCAACACAAGTAGACTTCTCATCCCATTGTAAATTTAGAAGCACGTTTTTCGTGTCTAGTTCATGTACGTGACACAAAGGCGCTAGTGTCGATGAAACTTTGTTTCCATTATTTTAGGGTTAATTTCTTGATTTGTGCTTTACTGCTTGGTTATATAACTAGGGGACAAGTTATTGTTTATGATTAGATCGTATTATTTGGTTAAACGAGGTTTTAAATGGCTGTAATAACGGGAAACAAATTGTAAACAAAACACGACCTCTACATAAACCGTACATGAACTAACAATAAAATTGTCTTCAGCTGTTCCATAAGGATGAGAAATCTACTAAGGGAGTATGTTTTATCTATGGCTAAACCAACCTTTCATATACATACTAGCTGTACCAGCGGGCTTTGCCCCGTTTAACTTCTTAATTTTCAAGATGATCTCGTTCGCATGGCTCAATCACGTCCTGGTTGAAGTTCGTTCTCTACGCTCACTCACCTTTAGGTTGGAGCTCGTTCGCTGCTGCGCTCACTTGCCTTCAGGTTAGCTCGTTCGCTACGCTAACTCGTCTCCAAGTTGAAGTTCGTTCGCTACGCTCACTCACCTTTTGGTTGCAAATTAGCTGTTGTCATTAATTAAAATAAATAATAGTGCTGCACCCTGTTGGTAATCATTGTAACTTTAATGCAATTGAACATCATAGAACAGAACCAACTTGTTTAATTGAAACAGCTGTTAAGATTCATTAATTCCTTTTAAATATGAAAAATTATAAGGCTAACATGGGAAACTCCAGAGCCACTGGGGCGGAGCCCGAGAGTCCGATCAGAATAAAAACAACTTAGTTTTCCTATTTAATGCCTAAAGAATCAATGTACCAAATTTCAGCCTCCTAGGTAAATGGGAAGTGGGAGAATTAGTGATGAGTGTGTCAGTGAGTCAGTGAGGGCTGTACCTTTTATAAGTATAGATTTCATTTGCAGATGTGGAATGTTTATTGATATTCTCTACCCAGTTACTATATCAT